AAATGGGGGAAAAAAGAAAATCATCCTTTTGCACAGTTGACTTTAAGTTAATGGCATGACAGGCTGTGTCTACATCAGGCAGCAGAGACAAAAGATGACATGGAGAAAAATGAAAAGATAAATACTTCATAGATGCTTTAAGCAATGACTATTCTGTGCCATTTTTTATAACCTGTCCACAGCCTACTGTGAGGAAATGGGGCTAAATGATCATAGGATCTAACATGAAGTCACTCAGAGTCAATTTGGTTTGTTCTTTGGTCAGCTGATCCACACATGGATTAAAGGTTAAGAGACTTCAAAAAGCGTTTAGAACTTTTAAGACAATAACGCACATTTGAATAATACAGTTTTTATCAAATTTAAACTCTGTAAAACTATATGGATGTTCGAATGTAGATGTACAATTAAAAAAAGGCTGATTGGTTTCAGTTCATGTTATCAAAATGTAAAAAAATAAAAGAAGGAAGGGATGAAATTAGATTATAAGATATTTAAGTATTTTAATTCCTGATAAAATAATAATATTATTACTACTATTACTACCAATAATAATATTAATGTAAAATCACTATTCACAATGTTATTACTAACATACATCTATCAAATACAAGTCTTAGCACAAGCCGAAGGCTCCTTTTGTCTGTATAAGCTTGTGGTTTTACACCTGCTCCATTTATGCATCTTTTGTGCCTGCATGCATCTGAACGTTAGCTTGTAAGTGGGCATAGAAGTAGAGTCAACGATGGGAGGAGCCAGATGCTGTACTCCCACTGACTCTACAGCAGCCCCCCTTCATGACCAAGACACAGAACACAAGCACAGAAGATGATGGCTTTTTAGCCTGGGATGACAGCCGTTACAGTGAAAGTTGTTTTCTTCCAACCAGGCTGCAGCAGGCATCTTGACCCGCTGTTAAACAATAAATCCACCTGATATGTTTCGGAAAGTTGGGGAGAGCTGTTATCAAGTGCTGAATTTCTCTACCTGTGATACCCAACAAGTAAGCGTGAGCTTTTTCACACCCTATTAGGAATACAACTCAAAAGGGCCAGGCAATGTTTTTGCTGCATGGAGTCATTCATGTTTTATGAAGGATATAATATTGATTTAAAACCCAGCACAGCCAGTGTGTGCGTGTGTGTGTGTGTGTGTGTGTGTGTGTGTGTAAGACGTTTCCATAGAGGATGTTCTTTGACCTAAAACAAACCTAAAATAGAAATGTATAGGCAATCTTCCCAAAAAGGAGTTTAACCTAAAAAAAAAATGTTTTTAAAAGTAAGCATTATAAGCTCCAGGGTAAAAACACAATGGCTTTTTGTTTAGTTTAAAATAAAGAGTATGTTTCCTGCACTTGAGAGAATTGTGAATTTTTTAAGCAAACCCTTAGCGAAAATGTATTTTCCCATGGTTTTAACAGAACTGGCAGCAGATTAGCACCCTGAGCCCCACAAACTGCTGCACATCCTATGGTATTAAATCTTAAATCTGGATAACGTGTGACAGGTTTAAACAAAAACATGTTCATGTTTGAAGAATTAAATAAAAAATACAATGAAATAATGTTGTTCTTCTATATTTCTGCTTTTAAACAATTTTCCCATTTATAATACAAACACGATTTGTGTGGAAAAATTTAACCTTTGTGTGACTTAAAATGGTACATTGAATAAAAGTGATTATCTTATCAGTTACTAAACAACCCAAGCTATGAATATATATGTATGTTTTACTGGGTTTTTGTCTAAACAAGGTGTGTCAAAAGTATTGATAGTCCAAAAAATATAAATACTGTATCCTGATACAATCCTAATTTAGGATGATATTAATACTAAGGATTTTTGCTATTACTAACGTTAATATTTGTGGATAATACCTAAGCCAACCTTAAGATGTTGTATAGTTGTTTGTATTTATTTATTTATTTATTTTTTGGGGGCTAATTCTTTCGTGTTTATTTAAAGACTTACCTGTTAATCTAAAAAAAAAAAAAAAAAAAAAAAAAAAAAAAAA